GGGCTTTTAAATGATTTGTAAATCATCGCATTGTTTTTATTGACATTTTACACAATGTCATAGCTTTTTTGGAAACAGAGTTTTAGTTGTGTCAACAATTCGTGGCTTTCCAGAATGACTATCAAGGTAAATATAGTCAGTGATGTTGTGGAGTGTCATGATGACCTTGTAGTAAACAGAAAGCTATAATCTTGCACAGGATGTGATTAAGTCAAGTACTGCTTAGTCAGAGAGCTATTTAGAGACTTTAATTCAGTTGTACTCAAACTGTCCTTTTCCGAGCACAATAAGTCTGAGAGTCACGCTCACAAGAGAGTACAAATGGATATAATGATGCTGAAAACAGGAAAAATGCACTAGGATCAACCCTCATTGTAAAGTTAAAAGCAAACCTGCAGCACAGACATATTGTCTAACAAAGGCAGAATTTAAAAAGCTGGTACAATTGGGAAAGGTACAGACGGTACAGATCTGACAGTATATGATGACGCTTGTCTTTTCTCAGAATATTGATGTCATGTACTTCCACAACTAAAACAGAAATGATGGGAACAAGAACATGTGAGTCAAAAAGGGATAACATAGTTGCTGTGGCCAGGATATGGGTAGATACGCCTAACAGGCTTGGTACACTTTGTTCCATCCATGCTGGCTCTGTGTGCGCACTCATCAGTGTCAGTCCTGCATGCACTGCAGTGGCAGCTGAGAGCCACAGGGTAGGTGAAGACAGGGTTGGCTTCAATGGGACAGCCAGGCAGAATAGCAGTGTGGTATTCAACCTTATCATAGGTGCAGCCCCTCTGGACAAGGAAACGTGGGCCAAGAATATCCCTCATGTTGCTGTCCTGGTTATCACATATAAGCACAGAGATCAAACTAAAGGAATGACGATTACATAGAATCTACATAACATTGGGGAAAAAGTGCTGGAAATATTTTTTTATGTGACTATCTAGCTTAAAGTCTGATAACATTGGCTAAAAAGAAGTCTGTCTTGATATGTATTTATTTATTTATGTTGAATATTTGCAGTAGACAAATTATGAAGTGCCTTTTTTGATATATATATATATATATATATTTGCCAGCTTTTGTAAAATTTTCTTAGTAATTTACAACATTAAAACCGCAAAGGAAGTTGTAAGCTTTCGTTTCAGTGTAAAGCCCATCCAACATCTGAATAAAGTCTCCAAAGCATATATAAAACTATGTAAAAATATGCTAAAATAAAACTAAATAAAACTATGTAAAATATGCTAAAATGACATATATACATTTTAGATATCTCTTTCTAATATTTTGTTTCATATTTCTTGTCATATAATTTTGTTTAACATTTTTGATATGGAAAAACGATTATTTACTAAGCACTTCCAGGTTTCAATAAACAAAAACAACATGTAGACTTTTTTTCTTTTTCATTTTTTTTTAACATTAGACATACATACCCTTGAGTAGCAAAATCCCATGCAGATGGTTGTGTTTATTGCAACACAGAACTCACATTCTGGCTTTTCCACATACAGGGTGAAATCAGTGGGCAAACACATGGGAACAGCAGGGCTAAACAGCAGAAAAAAGAGCCAGCAGTTGAACACTGTAGCCTCCATGTTATGTGTCTCAGTCAATCTTAGTCTATTTTGGTCCTGTTTGGGAAGAAAAGGTAAAGAGACCAGTCAACAACATACAAGCGAGATCAGAGGTTTGGTTTCTTGAATATTATTTTCTTACCCTCTGTATGCATGAGTCACCTGCTTGATAGATGTGGGCACTTGCAGGCCTAATGATGCTCTGAGTCCAAACATCTCTGCTAAGCAGTATTTATACAAACATATCTTAATCTACCTTTACATAAACTGCATGTTATCTATCTGTGCCAAAAAACGATCTGTTGAATTTTCAGTCCATTATGTGGATTACATGAATAATGATTTCCTTGGTAAACAAAGTTCGTGCATTAGCCATGTGGCTCTGTGCAAAGTAGTCTAAGCTACTGTACACTAGATGTCACAAAACACACAAAAAGCTTATTTTCTGCTTTAAAGAATGCATTTTTTTATTAGAGGGCCATTCAAATTTTAACCCGAGATGTACTTTCTTTACCAAACAAGCCAATCTGTTACTCATTTATGTAAAAATTAACTTGAAAATTTCTTATAATGCAGAGTTGCACACCGGCTGTGTTAAAGTGACACCAAAGAACATGCAACAATGTGAGTCGCTCAAAACACTCAACAGTCACAGTCCAGAGATGACACTGGTACTACACAATCAAAAAGGGTTATACAACCCGATTTTGTATTACTAAAGCAAAAGTTACTGTAAAGATAGAGAGAATGAATTCCTGACGACAACATCTTAAAAAAACAAAGGGTGTCTCCTTATCTGTAATTTAGTTTAATGATTGTCGAACATAGTCAAAGTCTCAGACACATTAAGTGATTTTGCAACTGTTTTGAATGCCATTGTTGTGTTTCTGTGTATCTGTAGCCCACTAAGATCAATGCAAATATAAAAATATTAGACAACAAAGAAGTACAAAGCAGGAGCTGGATATACTGATTTCTTTTTCATTTTAGTCAAAGGGTTGTTTTTTTTTTTTTTAGAGTAAAAGTTTTTGCTCTAATTACAGTTACCATTAAAGTATATGTACATGGTTAACCTGCTGTCATCATTTAGTTTATCAGTGACCAGGAATATTGCTCACAAAATGATTACGATACATTGAACATTTGAACAGTAAAATACAATGTTAGCTTCCACCTTAAACTGATCATTCTTTCTCCCCAGCTATTGTTCAAATACATAAACAGTCCATTTTACATGAACTTTTTAAGAATCTAGAGCAACCGATTCTCTCATAAAAGACGTCTTGAAAGAAACCATTCATGAAACCGCTAATATTTAATGAACTGGCATAAAGGTCGAGGGCAAATGATTACACTTACTTTTTCTCTCTAGTCTGCAGTTTTTTTTTGCTGTAGCTATACTTTTCACTGACACTTAGATGTGTGACTTTTGTGCTTTTCTATGCATTACTGGAGATACTGAAATGCTAAGTAAGGCATTAGCAATCACATATGACATGTATGGGAAATAAAACACAATGTCAGACTAGGAGTAGTGACAAAACCCAAAATATTTAAACCGCATTCCTCCTCCTGAAATTCCTAACATGACCAATAAATACTGAATAACCATGAGTTGCACACAGACTCCTCATAGGTGTGTCAACATGTCATTTCTTTTTAAGTGACACCATAATAACATAAAAAAAAAGATTTTCTGTCCAAAAAGAATACACCACGTGTCTTCTTTTATGATAACGTGTCATAAAAGAAGACACACTAGAGGCTCATCAGTTTTTACAATCAGGAAAAATACAGAAGGCTTTACTACTTAGTGGCCCTGATAGATTATTAACTAAAGTGAACTAATCTTTATAGTCACTAGAAACCACCAGAGTGGACCAGATTTCTGTCAACGACAAGGGAGACAGTTGAACTACCTCAGTGTTCTCATCCGTCGAAGAAACTTTTCTTATAGTTAAAGTGGCTAAGCTGCAAATAATTGAAGACTAAAACCAAGAAAACTCTTGTAAAATCTGAGGAGGTCAAGCTATAACTTTTCCACTATGCAGCGGATTTAAATTTCTGACAATTGATTCTGAAATGCACTGCATGTCAACTGGATTTAAGGACAATTTCAGGATAATTTAAAGGGGAAGGATTCTATTTGCAAGATTGAAAGTTATTGAATTCTGACAGAAGCTCAATATTGTGTGTCAAAGGAAGACCGTTTGCTTCTCCTGCTGAATCAACCATGGTGGGTACAGGAGGTCCTGTGGCAACTTTCTCTGTGTGGGATTATGTGGTGTTTGCTGGAATAATTCTGGCGGCAGCTGGCGTTGGCCTATTCCAGGCTTTCCGAGGTCGCAAGGAGACTACCAGCGAGGAGTTCTTACTGGGTGGACGGCAAATGACAGCTGTGCCAGTTGCCATGTCGCTCACTGCCAGCTTTATGTCTGGCATCACAGTCATTGGTACACCTGCTGAGTCCTACCGGTTTGGATCTGCTTACTGGATTTTTGGCTTCGCCTATGCTATCATGTCTGCAATCAGTGCTGAGATCTTTGTTCCTCTTTTCTACCGACTGAGGGTCACCAGTGCCTATGAGGTAGGGAGATGGTAGAAATGTTGGTGAACATATGAATCAGGAAATAACTGAAAATGCCAAAGATCAATAAAGCAAACAACAAAAATAATGTACACAGCTTGGTGCTGGTTAATGAAGGTTACTCATTACAGGTTACTCATTACTTGTTAAAAGTGATTCCAACATAGTATGTAAAGAAATATCTAAAGTATTTTTTTGGAAGTTTTATTTTTAAAAAATGCAGTACACATTACAGCAATCTAGCAAATTTGTGGACCAAAAGATCCTTCTATTGATATCCAGGGTTCGTTTTCATTTCTAGTACCTGGAGTTGCGATTCAGCCGCCCCATTCGGATAATTGGGACATCAATGTACATCGTCCAGACGGTAAACAAAGAGTTTTAAATGATTAAATATATGATCAATTACTTTATGTATTTTGACTATTAAAACTGAAATTATTTAGGAATGAAAAGTTGAGCAAACACCAATGATTAAAATGTTAAAGGTAAAATGAAAACAGCACCTGCTGTTTTTTTTCTTTTTGACTATATGTAAAACTGTTTCTTCCACTTCCAAGAAAGCATTAATATAAAATATATGCTTGTTGTTTTTCCATGTAATCAGCTAATGGTGACATTTCTCCTCAGGTACTGTACACCGGTTTGGTTATCTATGCTCCAGCTCTTGCTCTAAATCAAAGTAAGCCAAAAAGCTCATAAAACACATCTTGATAATTGAAGGACTTTTAGCTTAAAGCCTCACTAAACTGTCACCTGCTCATAAAACTTCTACTTCTTCTTAGTGGTATATTTGTCCTGAGTTAATACACTAATGATTCTTTCATGTTTATCCTATATAAAGGTTTATTTAAAAAACAAACAAAACCCAAAAACTGAAAAAGAAAAAAAAAGAAAAAAGGATGCAGACAGAACCATAATGAAGCTTATTTCTTATTACTCAGTCACTGGGCTGGATCTGTGGGGAGTGTTGGTGGCTACGGGAGTGGTGTGCATCATCTACTGCACTTTGGTTGGTACCATCTAATGTAAAAAATTATTATATTTATTTAACTAGTTGTTTTAGAGAAGCATGAACTGAAAACGTTGTTACGCCAGAGCATGCTTTCATTTCTAATGATAAACGTTTTGGTTCATTGAGGTTTTAATAACCAGTCTTTCACTTACATATGAATGAAATTAAAGTTATTGGCTCCTTGATTATTAATAATTGTACACATCTGAACATTATTATGACTCTTACTAAGGAATCAGTTCAACAGATTCTGCAAAAAACCTTTACAATGTGACGCTTACTCTAACATCAATGTTTACTTCAGGGTGGACTGAAAGCAGTAATCTGGACAGATGTGCTTCAGATGGTGGTCATGCTGTCAGGTTTTGTGGCTGTTATAGCTAGAGGAGCTGTACTGCAGGGAGGCCTGACAAAGATTTGGGAAGATGCTGGTGAAGGAGGCCGACTATATGCTTTTGAGTAAGTACACAAGCAGACTTATGTCCAATAGTGAGTGAGTTTATTTTACAATAAAAAACGGGCAGGGATTTTGAATCACATAAACTGTGATTACTAATTCCAAGATAATTTACTAAAAACATTTTGTATCCAAAAATAAATATCATGGATGGGAAGCCTGCTAATTTGCTTCTATATGCCATTCCACATTAGAGTTTGTGTTGTTGATGTCCTCAAAGTTAACCTTCAGTATATTTTCATATTATTGACATTTCTATCACAGTTTTGATCCAGATCCCCTGAAACGACATACTTTCTGGAGCATAGTAGTTGGCGGTAGCATGATGTGGGCGGCAATCTACGCAATCAACCAGTCCCAGGTGCAGCGTTATATCTCCTGCAAAACCCTGGGACATGCCAAAATGTGAGCATTCCTGTAATTCAATACAAACAGTACATTGCTGAGTCTGAGCAAAATGTTATGTGCTGACATGTCTTTTTTCATCTTTCAGGTCTCTGTATGTGAATATGGTTGGCTTGTGGATAACTGTGACTCTGGCTGTGCTTTCTGGTCTCACCATGTACTCCATTTACAAGAATTGTGATCCACTATCAAACGGTGATGTTGACACCCCTGACCAAGTAAGTAAACCTGCAGTCTTCTCTTTAGTCCTCACCACCTTTCCTTTTATTGTGCAACAAAGCATTATGTGTAACAAAACATGGGTTATATTTATCAACCAGCTGTTCCCATACCTTGTGATGGATATTCTGGCAGACTTCCCTGGAGTTCCAGGCCTGTTTGTGGCTGCAGCATATAGTGGTACCCTGAGGTGAGAGCCTTAAATATGCAAAAACATGTTATTTTAGAGCTGTGCAGGGATCAAGACCTGATAAATTAACATTCTTAGAAAAGAACTGCCTTTGTTGCTGCCAGAGAAAAAGTCACTAAGTAGTGAACAGGATGATATTTTTGCATTTGCATTACTAGACATAGATAATGCCATAAAGTACCATCTGTTGCCTGAAACTAGCTTCTCTGTGTGTAATTATCATTTTAAATGCATCAGCCTGACTGTTGTGTTCCGAGTCTAAAAGCTTGCCTTTGTATATTTTTCAGCACAGTGTCTTCCAGCATTACTGCTCTAGTTGCTGTCACGGTAGAAGACTTTATCCTACCGGTGTACAAAGACCTCACAGAGACGCAAGTGAGCTGGATGAACATGAGCCTGAGTAAGTTGCAGAAACAAAAAACTTCCAAAATAGTCCAAAAAAGCCTTGAGGCAACTGTTGCTGCAATTTGGCACTATATATATAAAATTAAAGTGAATTGAATTGAAAACGCCGAATAAAAGCTTCATTGTGTCTGTAATAACACAGCTTAATAATAAGACTTTACAGCTCTTTGTTTATAAGTAGTCACCAACAACTGTTCAGACTCCTATTATCACAGACCCTTTGAGATTACAAGAGAGCAAGTGATATCGAGATAACCATCTTATCTTGCTATTTTAAGCAAGGGATTCAAAGCATTTCCACCATATAAGTTATGAAATGATTAGAAATATATCATAGATAACCATTTGAGCCTGAGTAATACCTCTGAACAAAGGAAGTCTTGTCAGCAAGTAGACAAGTCATGAAGTTGTAAAAAACAATTGTTAATAATTTATATTAACACACCTAACAGAACAGTCGGTACTGTTACTGTTATTTTCAGAAGGTGTAATTATGGTGTGGGTCGTTCATTTTCTGTGAAAATATGTTTGCAGCACACAGCTTATCTTTTTCTTCTTTATGTCATACAGACAGTTTTTAGTATGGATCAATATGCTGTTTTTGCACAAGGTCACAATGATCTTGTTCCTTGCAGTCCATTTTTAAGTGCTAAATCATTTATGGTAGGAAAAAAAAAACATGATTTCTACTGGCCTCACATCACCTTTGTGGACTTATTTTTCCATACATTTTCCATAAGTTATAATGATAAATTGAATTATATGAAGAAAAAAACCCAAATAAACATTTGCTTTTAAACAGAGTTAAGTGTGCATAACCATAATAACATTTGTTCTAGAAAACTGTGTAAAACATGTTGCCTATCTGAACAACTGAATTTGCACTGCAAACGTTGTAATCTTTCTACTCGCAGGTATTTTCTTTGGAGGAATCTGTATTGGAATGGCTGGAGTAGCTTCCCTTATGGGAAGTGTCCTGCAGGTAATCTGAATCACCATGAACACAAACTACTGCAGTCATTTACTGCTCTTCAGCTTCACCATGTGGTGAAAGTTGCAAACTACAGGGTAAACTACTTTTTTTTTTCTTTTCTTGTCTTTTTTTCTCTTTTCTTTTCAGGCCGCTCTTTCTATATTTGGCATGATAAGCGGACCGCTCCTTGGTCTCTATCTATTAGGCATGTTTTTTCGCACATCAAACTCAATAGTGAGTATTTCCTTGCACTCAGACTTCTACTAGCACAACTGCACAACTTGACAACACATTAAAAAAATATTGCCAAAGTAATAAAAATGTGATGTCCTAAAGAAAGTACTTCACTGTGTTCATATTTACTTTTCAGGGAGGACTTGTGGGAATGACCATTGGTCTAGTGTTGACTCTGTGGGTGGGGATCGGAGGCCAGATTTACCCACCAACAGCTGAAAAGACAAATCCTCTTCCACTCACCACTGCAGGCTGCAACAACACAATAGGCCAAAACTATACAACAATAACTCCCTGGTCCAGTCCAGTGACTCTGACCCCAGAGCCTGAGTGAGTCATTTTACATAAAAGACTGATGCAAAACCTTCTTTTGCTACTCAGCAACACAGTAAAAATCACAGTAAACTTTTATTTAACAAAAAAACCCTGTTTAATAGCTGTCTAAAAAGGCATAATTAAACCTCACGAATCAACTACAAAAAGTACAAACTGCTGTGAAAACAGTTGTCAACAGTTGAAAACAGTTGTCTGCTTTAAACATAACATAAATTTTTATATATAGTCTAAGTATATTAAAATGAGTGATTTTTGTTCATTTCAGTTATAGGCCTCCTTTAGCAGACACCTGGTACTCTCTGTCTTACGTCTACTTTTCTCTGTTGGGCGTTCTGACCACAATTGTGTCTGGCCTGCTTGTGAGCGTGATCACAGGTGAGATATTACTTCTGCAGAAATCTAGTCCATAATATTATGGTATTTCAATTATATCAAAACAAGGATAAAATCGAGGGAGTATGTATTTTTTTATACATATACAGGTGGATGTAAGCAAGACAAGAAGAACTCAGAGCTGTTTGTGAGGAAGAATGACTTAATCTGCTTCAGCTGGTGCAATAAGTCAAAGGTATGATGCTTACCCCCTAACAAATAAAGGAAGAACATATCAGCAACCCTCTCCAAAATAAACAAAAATTTGGTGTTATAAATATAATATGTTTTTAACCCAATACAGGAATCAGACATTACAGAGAAGACTTCAGCAAACATTTATATGGGAGCTGACAACCCAGCATTCAAAGAAGACGACGTGATGAACAAAGATGTTGAAAAAAACACAAGACTATAATATTAGTCTATCAATGACATATTTTGTCTTGGGGTCATTTTAATTAAATTTAAGAAAATATAGGCACACACATAAAGCACAAGCAAAACCCCTTTATTAGCATCTGATGATAATGGTATTTATATTGATACTAATCATGTGTCGAAAATCTAAAATTGAATCACTCAAGAAATCATTGTATTTATGTTACTGATGTATTTCAACAAGACAGAAACAGTGTATTTATTAATACAATGATGGAAAAAGAAATCTTTGTTTATTCAAGTCAGATGCCCACAACTTCTGCTCCCCATGGGTTGAGATGTTCCCGTTTCATGGTCACTTAGACAACCTTGTAATTCCATTTATCGCCCTTTATAATTGCTGATACCAGATTACAGTTTCATAATCTATCTGAACATTGCACTTAATTTTATGCTGACACAGAGATACATATTGGAGTATTGTTCACTTTTACTGTACAGTGTGATTACTGTTTTGAAGGAAGTGTTTTGAAACATGAACAATGGTTGTTTGTTTATTACAGAGTTGCTTTTATATGGAAACTATTGCACTCTTTATGAGCTGCCTGTACAAGCTGGTAACAAATTTGTCAATAAAATATTTTGTAAAAAAGTGAACTCAGTAAAAAACCCTTAACTCACACATACACAAAAAAACTCTAAAAACCTTAGTGCATGAACTGTACACACACCCCTCTTTCTCTCTCTCTATATATATATAAATGTATTGTCTATTACTTTGGTAACTGTCTCTTTAAGGCTTGTAAAATATGTTTGCCATAAAGAAACAGACGCTGATCTCTGGACCTACTTACAACAATGCCTTTGTCTCCTTAGTAACAAACAGTAGAGGAAGTTTAAGGGTAAAACTGCCCCGCCCACATTCACCTGCCATAGTATCAGCCACTTTCAATCCAGGAAGTGAACAGTCAGTCGAGACATGGAGGCACACTTTCAACCAGAGAATTAAACTAAACTAGGCTGCTGTTTTCACTCTTATTAACTAAACAAGGTGAGCTGGTTTTTCTTTCATTTTTTCTTTCAGAATTAGTTTTTTAAACGGTTTGAATTTACTTAAAATTTCACAAGAGGGATTTACATGTTTGTGTAATTTAACTAAAAATATCACATCTAGTCTTGTCCAGTCTTGATTTCAGCTAATGTTTTTCTTTCTAGTTCCAGATTAAAAGGCCATGGATGTAAAGTTTACTGCCCTGGCTTACTGCCATCTGGCCCTTTTGTTCAGTGTGGCCCAAACAGAAAATGGGACTAGCACTCCTCAACCAACCTTTAGCTTAACAACCCTTACGACACTAACTCAGTCTGACTCTACTTCACCAATCTCAAATTTGACTGAGGAGACAACACTATATACCAGCACACAGTTGGATAACAAAACTTTCGTTAGCACCACTGCGGCAACAACCGAGAGGACAAGTCACCACCAGACTTCTCAGTCAGCAACCACCTTGACTCCTCTAACAAATAGTACTCTGAGGACTACGAGCTCTAGCACTCAAATGTCAACATTTACTGCACAAACAACGGCAGCAATCCAGACCACAGTAGATAACTCAAGTACACCAAGTACTCCAGTAATTACAACTGAAAATGCAACTCATACTACCATGAACAGAACCAGACAAGGTAAGCATAAGGCTCCATTCTTATCTGCAGTTTTATCAACAACTATTCATTTTTTACATAATTTGCTGATTATGGTAATTCTTGCTGTTTTACTTTGTCGCTAGATGTGGGCCTCAATGTCTCTGAAAGGAATATGACTATTGTCTTCAGCACTGTACTTGGAGCATTTGCTGTGTTGTTGTTTTTTCTTATGTTTCACAAATGCAAACAGAAAATACAGTACTTGCACCAACCTCTCAATAATGCACAATACACAGGTAAGGAACTTTCCTTCATCAAACAATTAGTTCAAACCCTTTTATTTACTATTGGCAATTAAAAATACTAATCTAATTTTAAACAGATACATTTGTGGCAGATGATGACACACTCGTTATTTCTGGAGGACTTTATGATGGCCATCCAATCTACGACAATGTACCAACAGCTCCCGCAGACCAGTCTCAATTCCACCTTGAGTTTCTCCATTAAAGACACAGAATTTCTATAGTCTGAAATCTACAGTTTAGGAGTGGATAGAACCAATGTACTAAACTAATGTAACCAATATACTTTCAAGACTGAAATATAACTCCTATGATGGTCTTTATAAGAGAAAAGTGGTCCTTAGTAAAGGAAAATGAGAATAGGTAGGACATGCAAACAAGTACAAAACTGATTTTTGAGAACATTGCTTTTACTTGTACAACACCAGAATACATAAATATATTAACAGAGTAACTTGTAACAACTAGAAATTGTCAAAGATCAGCAACATAACCTTGTGATAGAACATATTAGATTTCATGTTAACATTAAAGATGAGTTATTCCAAAGATTAGCACAACAGCAAAGTAATAAATAACACATTGACTCTAGTAGGTAAATTTAATCCTAAACACCCATAAATAAACTTACTAAAAGCTGGCATCTTAACACCAAAACCTTCTTCTCATTGACACTATGTTTTAGTTGAACCATAGAAACATATTCAATTCATGTTTTTGTGTTATTTTTAGTCTATTTGTTATTCAGTCAATCGTGTATAATTTATTCATTCTCAATAGAACTGTATTTCAAGTCACCCACCTCTACCAATATTGTTATTACTGCTAATCTGACCTAACAGCCAAACTTAGGCAAAAATCTTCTCATTGGTCTTCTTCTTTTTTTTGTCACAGCCAGTAACAGCTGTCCAACCAGCATCTCTCATTCTTTTCATTGCGGCCAGCTTTAAGGAGTTTCCTGGTGATTTATGAATGAGTGGGCTCTGATTCTGTAAAAATAACACACACATACACACACATAGGGATTTTTAAAAATCAAAGTAAGTATATTATATGCCACTTTGTTGGATCATAAAGGCACATTACCTTTTTGAGAATGTGGAGTTTACATTGCGAATCTGAACTTTTACGTGCAGGTACATTTGTAAAGGTCTATCAACACAAGAAACAAAAGAATACACATTAATCTGTCCTAGCGAATTTGCAGAAATGGTAAAATCACATTCACATAACCTGCAAGGTTTATGGCATTATTTTTTTTTAAATATTAACAAGCCCCCACCCCCCAACCCAAAAAAACAAAAACAAAAAAACATTGCTTACCAAGAGATCATTTTGATCTGAGCTGTCAGACTTGGGGTCGAGTTCAATGGCGCTCTTTCCCCACTGTGCTGACTTTTCAGAAGGGGGAGTCCTTATTCTGTAGGACTATAGGGGAGTAAATGTCAGTGAATATATTCATATTTTTTCAATTTTGGAAAATGTCAGAATATATTACTTTGATCTTTGTTGTTCCGGCAGTATGGTTTGTAAGACTTCTTGGGGTTTTCATGTCTTCACTGTTGATGCACTAAAATTCAAAGTCAGTGCAAGTCTTATAATCATTTATCATAAAACTTAAAGTAAATAAAAGCATATCAATACATGAATTATGTTATAATTTATTCTGTCACTATAGCCATTTTTATATATCTACTTTATGAATAGGTTAAATTGCAGTCTACCTTGGATTTTGGTGTTCCACATGATGCTCTGATAAATTCAGTGGCAGATTCCTTAACAACAATTCAAACAAAGTTGCTTTAGAAAAAGGCTGTGGTAATAAGGTTACATTGTACTGCTTTACATTCACACGCAAAGTTTTGCGGTCGTTTCCTACAGCTATAGGCAATTATTAGCAGAGTCTTCCATGTGAACTGACTAAGAGTATCTGGCGCCAGTATTCTCAGGCCCTATAAAAGCTGCTAGCTTACTAATCTCTGAGAGATGCTCTCCATGAATTTAAATGTTTTCTCCAATGAGTAACACCCATGCTCATATTCACACTGCTATTCTTGTTAATTAATGGTTTCTAAATAAATCAACTCTGGTGCATTTTTAGTTCCCATGGCACATTTGAGACTCTCATTCGAACATATGAATATATACCTTTTTTTACTCATACACAACAAATACATTTAAAATCCCTTTTCTTTCTCTAAATAAAATCCAGGTGAATAATAAACATTATGAATAGCTATAGGGCTACAAACTGAAAGGCTAAAACGCCATGTCCACCAAAAAAACCAAACCAAAAAATGGCAATTAAAATCTTCGCAAATATTATGGAAAAATAATAAATGAATCTATTTGTCCGATTTGATCCACCAATCCCTTAAAACCAAATATTGTCTGATCCTGACTCAGCTGGATGTTGTTCTGTTTTTGTCTTTACCTATAGCCTGGTACCATGGATTATTTTTCTAATAAATACCAGTTCAGCAAATTCAATTGGGGTTGTATTTATTTTTCATAATACCCAAAACCAAGGATGTACTATATCTGAAGTAGAAAAGGCTATTTTGAGAAATCTGTAGTTATAAAAACCTTAATCATCTGATTTTCTAAGCTTATCTTAAACAAAAATGTCTGAAACATTAATCTGTTGAAAACATTTTGGTCGATAAAACTCACATCTGTTGTACGAGTGGCCAAACTCTGACCATCTTTGCTGTAGGAGGAAGTTTTCTTGGCCTTGAAGAAGTCAAATGTGTGACTCTTTGAAGAGTTCTCTTTTGGAACCTCTGAACTTTTCCTTTGTTTATAGTTTGAGGCAGCTACCTGTAGTAGTACACATACAATTTTGGGTCAACTAAAAGTAATGACAAAGAATGCCATCTAGTGGCAGCCTATGAGCTGCATGCACTGTACCTGTTTGTCGCTCCCTTGTGACAGCAGAGTGCTTTTCACAACAGACATTTCCTGCTTCAGATCACTTGTTTTGTTTCTGATGTTTTCCTAAATTGAAAGTGTTTGTTACATTGTGAGTTGTCTCTCTCAGAAGTATGACAAACAAACAGCTGTATAAATAAATCCAAACATAAACTGATTTAAAGTAGCATATACCTTCTCTCTTGTTTCTGCCTTCAGCTCTTTCTTCAGCCTCTCATTTTCAGACTTATGCTTTGAGAGGTCCAATTCCTGATTTAGAGAAATTTGTGATGCAAATATTAGGATATGACATGTTTTCTGGTCAATCATTATTAGTGCTACTTAGCATGTTTCTTGGTACCAGTGATTTTTCACGAGCAGTCGCCTCCATCTCATTCTTCTTCTTCTCTTCAAGCTCTGCGTCCTTTTCTTGGACCATCCGGTCATACTGGCTCTGGTAGTGACAAGTTGGGCTCATTCCAGCACAATATACATGAGACATATTTATCAGACAGCAAGAAGGCCATTATAATAACTTTACCTTATGTTTTTCCATCAGAGTGACCATATCTCCAATCTTATGCTGGCATTTAAGTTCTGTGGCCTCCTTGTTCTTAATGGCTTCTGCTGCTGTAATTCTAAGTTTCTGGACCTAAAACACAAATTGGTTCTATTTTTGTAAATTCAATTTGAAGGAGGTAAATGTTAATTAAATTGAAATTACAAATTGAAAAGTAAAAAAGTAACCTCCTTCTCAAGTTCTGCTGCAAAAGTCGATTTTGACTCAAGAGTCTTGAGCAGTTTCTCATGTTCTTCTCCTTTGAGTTGTTTAAGGTTCTGGGACTCATTTTGAAGGCTGTTGATCTAAAGATTAAAGCAGCATCTTAATTTTCCAGTCTAATACTGATTAGCTTAAATAGTTCACATACATATTAACAACTGGAAAATAAAAACACAAAGCAAACCATCCCCATACCGTTGTTTCAAGGTCACTGGATTTTGCAATCTCCTGTGCCATTTGTTTCTTAAGCATTTTATTCTGAAAATATACAAGTGAGGACAATAAATACCATTCCACTCCTTTTATAGCTAGTTTCATGGTCATTACAAACCTCTTTCTTGTATTCCTCCTGGGCTTTAAATTTAATTTCATATTGTTTTCTGAGTTTGCACAGCTAAAAAGCAAAGATTATTTTGTTTAGTTCCAGAAAATGATCAATAACAACAGTATTTGCAATTTCACATTTTTCACTCACCTTTGTTTCCACAGCTTTGATCTGTTTTTCTTTTTCTGTGATTTTCACCTGAAGTTGCTCATACTGTTCACACAGAGCATAAAGAAGCCATAATGAACATGTTTAGAATAAGCATCTTTATAAAGCCCTGTTTCTACTAATAATTTAGTTAAGATGCGTACCTTTTCTTCAGTTTGCTTCTGCAGAGTTTTTGTTTGTACACATTTCCCCAGGATTTTGGTTTTGACTGCAGTTAACTCATCTCTATTGCATGGAAAATGAATATTTAAATCTCAAAAACTGTGCATTCCAATCAGGAAAAAGTATCTTTAAGCCTCTGAAGTGCATATTCACCGTAAAGTCTTGTTTTCTTCCTCCAGCGTTTGAATTTCTCCATCGAGTTTTAATGCCTTCTCCTCACTCACCTGAGTCAAAGGTTTTCAGAATTTGTGATTCATATAATAAATGATTTAATAATAATACAAATAATAATAAAAATGACAATAATACAATAAAATCCAGACCTTCATGTTTGCCTCAATAGCTTGCACGTTAGAGAATCCATTTTCAAACTGCTCTTGAATGGCTGTCTTCTCAGACTGCAGCTCATTAAAGTTTGATAATAACTCTTCATACTTTACTCTTAAAAATGACATAAATAAAAAATGAAACATATTACAACAGCGTAATAAAATATTAAAATGCTAATATGCTAATATGATGAAATGGCTGTCTATTAACAACTCACTCATTTTGCAAAATGTCTTTCCTCAGCTGCTCCATCTGAACGTTGCATTCCTTATTTTTCTTCCTTTCAGTACACAGCTGTTCCTCCAGCTTCTGCACTTTGATCTGCAGGTATATTGCAAAGAAGCAATGCATTGTATATTTCAACCCAATGAATATATTTTACTACCAAACACATAAACAGCTTTCTCTAGTGGATAAGAGGTGAGGGGATGAGAAACAAAATTAAAAACATGTAAATGCCTGAGTCAAAGTGGACTTCTCCTGTAAATGTTCTTTTTCCTTTTCAGCAGCTTCACAAGCCTTTTTCAGTGAATCATTTTCAGCAAAAGCATTCTCTGCTTCTTTCTGTATTAGGAGAAAAAGGACAAACAATTCTAAGTATCTTTATTAGGCTATCTGATACAGATCGTCTTTTCTTTTTGCATTATGTATCTATTTATCTACTTATATCACCTTAATGAAGTGGATTTCTTCAGTTTTCTTTGAAAGCTCAGCCATGAGTTCCTCCATTTTAGCTTGAGTGAACTGAATTTTAGCCTTCACTGATTCAATGGATTTAGATTTTGTGTCCTAATAACAAGAACACATATTGTTTTCAAGGTATGTAACAGACTTGGGCATGCAAGGACTGGTTTTAGAGAGAAATCGCACACTTTCCCTTCAAATAAACCGTACCAGTTCATCTTTGAGAATTTGGATTAGGCCATCTTTCTTTGTAGCTTGGTCGAAGGTTTCCCCTGTTGAGTAAAATATTTCTTTCGGCTTGAAACGACATCACCTAAAAATATCAACACATGTTATCCGGTGGGACTTACCTAAAACTGTGTTTCTCCTTTCAAGTTCAGTGTTGTTTTCTATAAGTTTATCCTCAAGCTCTTTGGCCCTTCAGAAAAGTAAAAACAAGAATATAATGACATGAGGAAACATTGTACTTTATCTAGAAAACACTGTGAATGAAGGAGTTTAATATACCTCTCTTTCTCTAGTGTTAGTGAAGTCTTTAGCTCTTGAATGGTTGACTGAATGCACTCTAGCTCCTGTGCTTGCTGGTTTTTGACTCTGTTGAGCTCCTGTAAACTGAGATCTTTGCTTTGGATGACCTCAGCATACTCTTTTTTACTTTGTTCCAAGGCTGCAGCAGTAATTTCCTGATTTTTCTTTGTTGGGTTGTTAATATTTCAGTTAAAGCATATTGCATGCAACACAAGAGCCCAATTTCAGTACAAAGAAAAGAATCTCAAGATACTCACTTCAGTCTCTCTGCAGCGCTGCTCAGCAATATCCAGTTGTTGAAGAAGAGATTCCTGTTCAGCTTTTGCACTTTTGAGAACTTCAAATTGATGATCTATAAAACCACATATATAATATTAGTATCCCCAAAACAAAGTGTACTAACCTGACCTGAAGTCTGGAAAAGAAATAAAACATTTTCACCTTAAACTAAGCACCTTTTCTCATGTTAATGAGCATCTATCCAAATATACTGTCATGACTCTAATACTTCTGCATATTTAATACTGAGTAATATTTTAAAAATGTCTTGTTATGAACACACTGTTTTATTACCAGTGTAGCAAAGTTTAAAAAATCAACATGCACAGCTTATCTTCAGATCTAATTATGATGTTACTTGTTGACTGTTGAAGTTCATTGCAGTGCTTCTGACTTTCATCAAGGTCCAGCAGAAGTTTCTGTAGTTGGGTTTCCTTATCCTTAAGTTTTATTTGAAGCATGGTGATCTGTAAAGAACATGTCAGTCATTAACGTGTCAAAATTTGTAAAATTTGTGGAAATATATTTCATGCCAAAAGTTTCTCAAATAAACTGATGGAAGGGCTTTTTGCCCCCACTAACCTCTTCCTGTTTTATCTTAAATTCCTGCTGGTATTTCTTTTGTAGATGGTCAAATTGCAGTAAGTCTTCTTTGACTGCAAAACAATAAAACATGCTGTGTTGATGGTCAAAGTGTCACTAATTCATCTAGTTCCACTTAAAGTCTAAATACATTTAAGGCATTTGATTGAGTAATAGACGTGACATTTTGGCGTAATAGCGGCAAGAAGAAATGTATATATATACCTTTCTGCATCTCTTGCTGATCAGTTTCTACTCGGACACGTAGGCTTTCAAATGCGGCAATCAGTTTCTAAATGAAAAAGTAATAAACTGGCAATCAAACCTCATCATTTTACAATGATTTGATCAACAAAATATAATAAATTAAAAGCTACTACTGGCAAACATTTTGTGGTGTTTTACCTTAACACTTTCGTTGTTTTCAGTAAGGAGGTCGTGGGTTTCCTCTCTTTCAGCTTCAACTGCAAAACATTCACAGCAATGTACCGTTTATTTCTGCACTTACTAAAGCTGATGAAGAAAAGTATTCTCCAGATCAGCAAAATTTAAGAAACACTTTTTACTTACATAAATGTATTTTCTCAACTGACGAGTCAAAGGTTTCCTTGAGTATATTGCGCAAGTTCCATGTTGAATTGTTTCTGCATTTTAAAAATTGAGTTTTTAGCATTTCACAATTAATGGAACAAAACATAACTAAATGTAATCAGATCATCATATTTATCTTAGTTTCACAAATCACACATACTTGTTCCTCAGTTCTTCATTTTCACTAATCTGTTCCTCCAGCTTTATGCTGAGACTTTCATTTCCAAACTGCAGACAGAAAATACATTAAAGAATTCAAAGTTATCTCTTCCTGTTGTAAATGTTGTACATAGGTAGACAGACAGAGATAAGCAAATAAGATCAGTCTGTGGGGTACACACCTGCAGCTCCTGAATTGCCTTGCGCTGTGTTTCAATTGTTCTTTTGTTATCTTGGAGCCTTCTTTCCTTTTCCACAGTGTCAGAATAAACTTTAACCTTCCAACACTTAATTTTCTCAACTTCATCAAACAGCTTTGAATAAAGCTGACCAGGATTGCAATTATTCTGGAAAACATCCACAGTTTAGGAAGTAAAATGACACACACAGACATATTCATACTGCATATTTCTGTGCAATAGAAATATTTACCTCGTCTTTCTCCATTGGTTGCATGAGTTTCATCTTCAGAAAGTCTTTAGTGGGACACAATAATTAGGTTAATGTTTATAGTGCAGTTCTTCTGTTGGAAGTGATAGAGCTGGTGTTGTTAAATAACACAAAGACACACAAATACCTTGTTTGGGCGGTTTAGTTGGTGCAACCACGTTTGTATTGGGGAACAGTATGTTTTTCTCTTTGTCAAAGCATTCACTGTAACTCTGGTGGAAAAGAGCAGTAATATTTAATGTCATGTGTGTTAATAATTACTGCCTCATAGACTGCTGCTGACAACACTCATACAATGGTCATTGCGCTTGTAAGGTTAAATAGTTACTGCTGAGCTAGCATAGTGGTGAGTTGAGTTTTTTCATCAATGTTTAGCTTCTAATTATTAACTAATTATAACTAACTGTTTATTGACTTACAGGTTGCAATGCGTTCATGAAATCGCCTCTGTCTTCAACTATTTCTTGAGGTTGAACCGCAGATATTGGTCCGTTATTCACCCTGGGAGGCACCAACAGCTTGAAGCTAAAACGTCGATCTCTCTCCATTCTGGAATAGCCATACAGCAATAACCTAGTTATTTAATAAGCGGTGTTTTAAACCAAGACATCTTTAATAAACACCACAGAAATGCCAGAAGACTACAAATAACTATTATTGTCCCTTTTTAACTAATATTCATAAGTCAAATAACCCTAAACATTAGCTAGCTAGCTAACTAACGGTAATTAGCTTTTTATTTGTGAGTCAACTAGGCTCGCAGACAACAGCTAACAGTTACCTCCGGTATATTAGAACAGCGTTATTTCCCACAAAATACAAGATAAAAAAACAATAATAATAGTCAGTAGTTTAGAATGTTACTTAATAAACATCAATGTGGTAATTTACTAGGTACTACGTGTAAACTATGACATTTTTTTTAAACGTTACCTGTTAAACTTGGTTAACGGTTATAACACGACCACCCTGCACGAGGCGAGGAAGGACTCTAGCCCAACTGTTTAAGTGAAGACTATTCTTGTGTCGTTCAGGTTTATTTAAATATCATACTTTATTTTTTATTATCTTATTTTTCTTCTTCTTGATAATAATAATAATAATAATAATAATAATAATAACAATAATAATAATAATAATATAATAATGTTTGTGGTAGCAGTGGTATATACACAAAATTAAGTTGTTTTTTGGTGGGCGGATGCTGTGTCCCTTTAATTAATATTTAATGTGTAAAATTGGCAAAATAAAGCAAAATTTTATATTATAAAATGAAAAATGAAGGTAATACGTTATAGTCAAAGGTCTAATTTAGCACAGATATGCAGTTGGAGGTGATATATGTCATATAAGAACAGCACTTTGCATCTTTGAAACCATCAATCAGTTTGGTACATAGTGGAGAATATTAATTATTCTCTAAGCTCTTGTATCAAAACTAATATGCAAAAAAATATTACAAACAAAATAATAATATAGAAATATTCTTTTTTTCCCTGAAGACTATAGCTGACGTTAAGATTTAATTTTTAAATAAATTATGTCAGCACATAACAAAAACATTACCATATTTCTATCTTAGATTCAAGAAAAAACAAGACAAAAGACACAGTGGAGTATTACATCCTTGTTAAACAGCCTTTTATTTGACTTTTTCCACAAAATTCCTTTTTTTGCAGTCAGTGGCATGTTTTCCATCATAAGGCAAACCGCTAAACATCAGAATTATTTTATAACTGGCATAATGCATTATCAACAATGAACCAGAAAAAAATAACATTTAAAAGAATTTAGAATGAGAATGAATGTGCTTATGGAATAAACAAAGTGGCATGGGTGATACTTCTAAAAGTTTAAAAAAAATTGCACTTTGCTGTGATGTGCTTGGAAAGCTTATGATGTCTTTATAAATGTCGTGAGAGAGAAGTGAGAAAAGAGAAAGTGTCTCTTAAAAATAAAGCTTTCTACTGGTAACAACAAACAAACAAGAGCAAAACACTTTCATTATGTGATTGTACATTTCAGAAGGTTAACATGCTAAAGGAAATAAAGTTATAAAAAATGTTATAATGATGTTACCAATAAGACAGAAGTAATTTAAATTGCTTATTTAATATATTTATGAGGTTTATATATAAATATAAGAGGTATATATTTAATGAGGATTGTGTATTTGTGTTTAAAGGACTTTAATAATTGTGGCTATGAGTTCTATGGTGTGCTTCAAAAACAATGCATAATCAAACTGATGAGGAATTAATGCTATTGTTGCCTGTTGAAAAAGCATGTTTCTTTTGATGAAAAATTACCTCACTAAGGACAATAAATTGACCCATGTTGTAAATTGACTTGATGCAGGACTTTATACAGTGTCCTCTGTATTCCTAGCTTCTGCCACCTCTTTGGCAGCATTGTCCCTGTTGGACTTTTGTACTCCAACTCCCACCACTCCTCTCCTCTCCTCCTTTTTTTTCTCTTTGTCCAGCAGCCGATAGTTCAGCCCCATTCCTGCAAACAGGAAGACACTAGCAACTATGAGGATGATCCCACAGCCCTGGTAGGTGTACTTGTAATCATGGTAGACGTCTTTGAACTTCCCTGTGAAGACAAAACGACATCATACAGGATCATTTGTTTCTGTGCATAAACTGTATATTAAAAATGGAAGTCTTCACCATGACATTACCCTTTGGTTTGTGCACTCACATTCAGAATTGTTCAGATGGATATTTTAGCTGTTACTCTCTGTGTGTTTTGATAGTAGCGCAAGGGCTGGTACTGACTAAAAAACTACAGACCCTACATGCTCATGGCTTTTCACTTACAAGGTACTACACTCAATGACATAATGTGCGATAGTCTATTCTAGTGGAACAGTTTAAGGGTCTATGTGTTGCCCCTGTGATGGGCTTGTAACCTGTCCGGGGAGACCACACCTCACGCCCAGTGACAGCTGGAATGGATGGATGGATAATCTAGCAGTCTAAATCAAAATCACAAAATGAAGACAATATTGTGTTGTGTAACAGCTGAAACTAGAGATTGAGACCATAAACCTATAAGCGAAGTCTTTACTGAAGTAAAAGATCGAGTGACCAACAAGGCCATTTTCTTATACAGTTGCACTTCTTATTGCGACTCAAGGAGTGCCCTCTGCTAGTCAGTTAAAAAATAAAATTAAGCACTTATGTAGTGGCTTAACTATCTTTTATATATACAAGTGTATTAGTATAGTAAGTAGTTATTATCATTAGTGGGGTACTCACCAAGTAACGGCGGACCTAATAATACAGGACCGCACTCAACAATAGTGACAAGCCCAACAGCACTGGAGAAACGCTGCGCTCCGACTAGGTCCATTAACGTCTCGAACAGCACTGCACTCAGCCAGCCGAAAGCAAACCCAAAGAAGATGGCATAAATGGTAAAGCCTGTATAATCTTCTGATATTGGAGCTAGGACATGACACACGCCGTTGTACAGTACTGAAGCAGCAAAGAAGTACTGTATCCTGGAACGGACCCACTTGGTATTGGCCACCATGCCCATTGAGGGTCGGGCAAACATGTCAACAAAAGCGAGGATAGACAGTAAAAAAGCTGCCTTCTCTTTGGCAATGTCTTTACTCTTGGCATAATTAGAGAGGAACACCAGCGGTGCAAAGAGGCCAAAAAACATGACAATATTTCCCACTATGTAGAGCAAAAAGCCACGGTGCTTGAACAAAGTGAGGTCGATAAAGCTGTTAATGGTCTGCAACACAGTCTTCCTCTCTGTGGTCTTCTCTGCAGGCTTGGGTTTTGGTCCTATAGGTCGCATGAGGGAACCTGCAACACAGCAGTTGAAAAGCAGGCCACCCAGGATCAGAAAACTTCCTCTCCAGCCAAACTGATCAAACAGCCAAGTATTAATAGGAGCTAGGGTAGAAAGAAAGACAGGACTTCCAGCCATGGCAAGCCCATTAGCAATAGGTCGCTTGTTGTAGAAGTATTTTCCAATCATTGTGAGAGCAGGGTTAAGGTTGAAGGACAATCCCAGACCTGAAAGATTCAGTAAAAATATGTATAAAAATGAGCATGAAACAGTGTTTAAAAAAACAACCGTGTACAAAAAAAAATAAGTTAGTAACAAACAAACTTGAAAATATTAAAAACTAGGTACCTCCAAGAACACCTATGCAAAAGTAGAGTGCTTGAACCGATTCACAAAAAGAAGCAGCAATGAGGCCCAATCCTGACAGGCATCCTCCAGCCATCATAACGGGACGACTCCCATATTTGTTAACCAGGATGCTGCTGATTGGACCTGAATCAAAAGAAACAAAGAACAAATATAGTAAATATATAAATATAGCATATATATCATGTCGCTACATGTTTTTCATCTATTCAAAGGCACAATTCTAATTTTAACCACCAGAGGGCTCTAGTGCCACAGCTGTGTCTCAGCAAATTCAAACAACTTCAGCAATCAGTTTTGTCAGTGCTGCACTGCAGTAGATGTGCTCCCAAGCCATTAATAATGCGATCTGTCAGAAAAACCACAAAAGCTGCAATGAAATAATCATTTATTTGATCCAGATATTCATAAAAATTGACAGAAGAATAATTTGTTTTGGAGCTCTTTTTAATGTACTCCAAACACAATTGAAATGATCATTAGAAATATCTCAGCTCAGACAAGCGGGTGGGGGTATTTGTGTGAGTGTACTGGGGTGATTTTCTCACTGGTGTGTACACTGGGGTTAAAATAACACTGAATCTTCTGTTATATATATAAATATATATATAACATATATAAATATTAGATTTTGATACTGGCTATGGAGAAAGAAAGACTGACTGTGCAAACAGTAACCAGCTTATTAAGATTCATGCATACTGGATTCAAAATCAGCTCAGGAAAATTGCTATGACTAGTAGACAAATGACTAAAATGCACTGAGGGCTCGGGTCGCAAAACACCATCTCCATCTAAGACATGTAACAACCAGCCTAAATGAGTATGAGGATCCACATGGAAGACACTTCTGCCTTCCTGCCAAATCTCTGCACTAGCCAATGAACCCAAATGGAAACTGACAGTTTTTGTTTAGAGGTTGTCCAGACTCATTTGCCAGCACGGTGCAAGACAAAGGGTTTTTAAATTGTAATGCAGGCAGTCTCCTCACAAACAATGAGTTCTTTCCTTCTGCGTTGCAGGGTGGGTTGCTTATGATAAAAAGGTTGGAGACAAACCAATGTAGAATATTATGAATATAATGAATCAAAAATTGAAGGAGTACAGAGGTACGCAACAGTGGGCTGTTAATGAACTTCTCCTGCTGATGTGTTCTGAATGTTTAACATAGAGATGGCAAGAGGCTCAGCTGTCATCTGCTCACGGCGCTGACAAACATTGCCTTGCTTATTCTCTGTTCTCAATTACTATGCGTAGCTTGCCTTCATCTGTGTATATTTACATCAAACATTTGCATTAATTGAGGGAGTCACACATATCCACGTATACTAAGACACTGCAGCTCATAACTTGTTAGGGCATGTGAGGCTCTAAGAGCCAAGTGAAACAAAAAGAAGTGATTAACAGACATCCACTTTGCTCCATTATGTGTTACAAATAAAAAGCAACACCATGGTAAAGATAGGCAAGTTGAGAACAATCAGTTACTGTTACAGTGTAACTCAGTAACCTTAAACCATTGTTCCTGCATGCCTGAATGTCACTCTCCAAAAGCAGCTGCTTGTTAAGTGTTGCTGAACAATAAGCAGCATTGATTTCTTCCATGGGGAACACGATACTTCTGTTGTACAGTAATGAGGACTTAACTTGAATGTGAAGTTTTGTTCGCCTTAGGAACTTAATACTCAGAGTAAATAACAGACATGTGGCACCTTGGTTTCTTGGGATGTTTTCACCTGGGATGTTTTGATGCAATATGTTCACCATTATGCACACAGTGTAATGCTAGCTGAGTGAGGCCATATTTCCAATTTTATTTTACTGCTAGCAGATCTTAGCCCCATGTATAAAATTTGACTGACAGTGTATTTTATATGGAGATACACTTCCCACTTCACACATTAGTTTGGAACACTAAAGCAGCTTTCCCGAAGCTTCCTTGAGACTAGATGCCTAAGTCATCATTTTTCCAGTTCATCACACACTAGAGCAAAGAGGACAGCAATGTTTTGATTTCAGAGGAGATGGCCTTTTGGGACAAGAAGGACTTCTTTGAACTCTGATCTCTCTCTGTTTATTTATCGTGAGCTTGAAAAGGGCTTTATCGTCATCTGATTGACCAGCCCAGAGTGACATCATGAAGTGTCTCATTCATCTCATCAGTGCAAGAACACAAACAAAACCCCTGGTGGTCTTCCAGTCTCAAAGCACAAGAGAAAAGAATAGGTAGGTGTGCAAGGCTTAAACTCATTCATATGCTCCAGAGACAGATAATGTTGCAACAGCATTTCAATGGAACACTTGAACTTTTGTTTTGCCAGTTTAAATTTTTCCGCACAGTAATTATGCTTATGTGTGATCTCTCTGTGACTGAAAAGCTACACAGTAAGCCTGTATTTCATCAAAAAATAAATGATTTTTTTTCTTATTTGGAACAGAACACTAAAGGAATAAATGTAGTATGGTCATGCTAAGAGCTGGGTGTTGATTTCAGCTGCTTGTCTTGGATGGTACTGTAGCTCACCTCCGCCGTACGTGACGGCTAACATGATGGAGGAGATCCAGGACACCTGGCTACTTGTCACATTGAAGATCACCTCAATCTCTTTGAAGAAGACAGTGATGGACTTGGGAAATGCATAGGAGAAGCCAATAGAGATGAAGGCTCCAATCACCACCATCCATCCCCAGCCACCCTCAGGTGGTGTGTAACCTTGAGGACCACCGACGGCTGGTGGCATTGTTCTTAAAACTCAAGAAGTTTTACAGATACGATGACTGTTTAGGAGAGAACAAAGTGACAGAGAAAGTCCTTTGATTAGTTGCTTGTAATTCTTAAAACACTTTAACAAAATTATATTTGTGTTTATGAATTAGAATACAGAAGACCTTTGGCAAACAAGCTGAAAAAACTTTATTTTGTTAAGTGCTTAATAAATATTCAACCCATCAATAAACATAGAAAATTACAAAACATGTTTCCGTTTCATACTGCTGCACAGTCATTTGTGATACTTTGTTCAATTTATTGTCCTCTTTTACATGAACTTGAACTTGATATTTTGTCCTCAGCTTTGAAACATTTGACATCAATAAAACATTCTTATATCAGTTTTGTGACTAGAAAGCATCAGCAATAGATCAACTTTGTATTCAAGTTGATCTTAACCAGTATGACCTTGCAAACAGAACTCAGATTTGATGTTTTCAGTATTTCCAAACACCAGCAGTGGTTTTGTTTCCGGCTCACCTCTCTTGTTTAGTAATATTGTTAGTACATTTTACTTTGGCATTGCCTATCATGGCAGCTTCTGAAGAAGGAAAATCAAACTAACAAATTTTCTACCAGAGGCGTAATTTTCACATTTTCACACTGTGTTTATCAAATAAACATTTGCTTTTATTTTTTTTAACCTTCAGTAAGTTGATGTTACTTTTTTTTTTAGTTTTTAGAAAACTAGAAAAAATACACATCAGGTACTGTCTCACAGTCTTGATTTGATTTTCCTTTTTCCAAAATGTTTTCATGCATTTCATGCTCCTTGGTCTCAGCGTTAACTAGGCTTTTCTATTCTTTGGAAGCCCTTTTGGCCACTTCACCATATAGCTTTGTCATGCATTATACAGTACGAACCTTCTATACTGACCTATAACCTCTGAGTAACCCTGCTTTGACGATACCACATGCGTATATATGAAAAGATTCATTATGTTGCAAAAGCATTCCCCCAACTTTAATAACTATGTTCAAGATTAAACATGGCATTTCTGGCCTTGCTTTGCTTTGAATTGATCTCTGCATGCATTTACTAAACTCCCACCTGCTGATCTCACACAGTTTCACTTTAGAAATGATGAATACGAGTCCATCTGCAGAGTCAAACAACTTACTGTATTGTTTACACAGGGGAGACTATCCAGAGAGAACATCGATCAGCCCACGAACACAGGTTGAATTCACACTGCTCAATAGCTCAGGGCTACGCTCTGGAATGGCTGATGATGTAGCGTTTTTCAGCCAAGGAGGACTTGATTTGGTTGATGAATTGGGTTAGTACTCTGAAAACTTATTGGATAAACCAGTTGTGTGCAGCACGTAGTGAATATTTAATGTTTTAAAGAACTTTTGTTATTGAGCTGGGATTTTAGCATCTGCTGTGCAGCTGTAAATGTGCCTCCTTCTTTATCCTGCAGCAGCAATACACTGAGAGAAATAAGAACTTACACTGCCACTAAATCAAATCAGTTTTGCATATCAAAGAAATAAGTTGTGTGTGTGACATTATTGGTTATCACTAACAAGGAGTATTTGTTTTTTTATGCAAGTAAAAATGCTAAATGACTGTTGTTTTTGAGGAACATTAAAAATTCACAACCAACTGCACTGTGTCTGTACTTTTCATACTTCAATGTTCTGGCCGACTTGTCAACCAGTGAGCATTCATTTATGTTTAGAAACATGCAATTGGGATTTTGGGAGGGCTGCATGGAAAAACTTTTGCGCTGAAAAGCTTATCCATAGACTCTCCACTGACAAATACATACGCAAACTGACACAAACATGGAAACAAAAAGGTGTCCTAACTGCAGCTCTGTACTCTGATAATGTTCTCTGCAACCAGCATTAGAAAACGTAACTGTATTAGTTTTCTACTCAAAATAGATATATATTTTGTCATAGTTTCTTTTCTTTTTTAATGTGTTGCTTCCGGTTTAATCTTGTGTTTTCATATCCATAGAAAGTTCAGTGTTGTTTGATGTTACCTGTCCATTGGTTAGCTTCATATCAAAGTTAATCATGTTTTACCAATAACATCATGACAGCCCAAAGATTTTTCCATGAAGTGACCACAATACAGCAATATTATTTTACAAAGTGTCTAAATGTCTAAGTTTGCACCACGTTTTTTATTGGCCTTTCTTAATAAATGCTACTTTAAAAATCAATGTTGTTCAACACACTGTAGGTAACAATAAAATCTGAGTTAGTTTAGGTTAAGTGTAAACGTTTTTTAAAAAAGATTTTAACCTTTAATTGATCAAGGATCCTTCTCCTTTTGGAAACTATGAAATTACGAGAAAAGGGAATGAAAAGATTGAATGAAGTCTAGACTCTTAAACAGGATAATATGCCGGGAAATGTTATTACAACAGAGACAGTGCTATCTGTACTTTTAAAGAACAAAAATTCAGCAGTTGACATTAAATGATAAATGGAGGAACAAGTTAAGACAGACAGGACCCCCGAATAGAATAGTAAATCTGCAGAAATAATGAATAAAACAGATAGGTTCTCACTAAGGATTAACTGCCTGTCTCTAAAATAAAGAGCAAAATATCAAATAATTCAGTAAAAACTGCAGAGAGTCAATTCATTCAAGCCAGGATAAGGAGTAGACAAACATGCAGAGGTATAAAAACAAACTCCCCTCATGCTGTAAAGGTCTAAATAAAGTAGCCAAAGTGGGCGGCCTGAAAGTGCCACTTGACAACACACATACCAGCACAGAAGCAGGGTGGGCTCAGCAGAGGACATCAGCAGATATACAAAAGGATTTGGTCCCTGTGCTAAAGATGTGAGGCTCAACTGATTTAATTTGAATTCATAAGATTAAGTTGGGTAAATGTATCTCCTTTTCTTAGTAATTAATTTTAGTCTCAACTCTGTGTACCCATATGTTGCCTGAATTAAATTGTCAAACTAAGAATAATGAAAATAAAAAAGAAATTACCTTTAATATAGTTGAGAAACCACGCAATTTTAAATTTGTGCCAAATTGGGATCTTTTGCGGAAGACTTTTCATTCATTCTGCCCGCTTCAGGCCTTTTCTGACCCCAGCTTTCTAGTACCAATTTTAGACAGAAATGAATTTGTCTGTTTAATTATAGATGAGAATAATGTGTTAAATATTTGCTCAGGGAAATTGCATTCTCACATAATAAGTATTGTTATAACACTAACAAAGCAATCCATTTTTTATGAATATCCAACTGGAAACAGACAAGTTCTTGAAGTAATTATTTTAAAAATGATGTCTGGCAAATATTACATGTATATCAAGGATCTTACCTTAGCAGGAGCTCTTGAACAGGGACAGATGAGCTCTGCAGATAAAGTCTCTGAGGGACGTTAACACAGTGCAGACATCACAGAATCGGACTGAGTGGCTTTGAATATATATTAAAAAAAATACAAAAAAGAACCACTACATTTGTTTCACAGACTGTCCACAAAAAATCAGTGGGTCGGTGCCAGGCTACAAGTTTCAACAGTGTCACTGTTTCCTCTGAATAAAGTAGAGTTCATTCAGTGCCCAGATCAAACAGCTGGACAATCTGGACACAACGGTGCTAAATGGTGAGGCCAGTCAAGATCTTATTGGCTATGCAACACGTAGAGCCATGCCCCTACGGTGCTTTCTCCACCCCTCTGTCATGTGCTGAGCTGACACACAAGGTCAGACTAAGGCCCTGCATACTGCATACTATAGTATCCATGACTGTATGTGGTCCAAGAGGATATAATAATGTCTGCACTCCAGAAGATTAGATGCTGTTATCAGTGCCATTCACTTGAATTTTATAGGAAATCAATTTTACAAATATGACGGACATTGTTTATTCAGCCACCTGAAAGAAAGACTTTTGTGTCATTCCTTGTTGAGCCTTTCTCCCAGATTCCCTGAGGAACTATTTATAAGTCTGTATCAGGCCTTGGGACAGGAAAGGCCTGAGTACACTGGGTTACTGAAACAGCATGTGCTTCCAAAGTGCCTTCAAATTCTTGACACCCTTGAAACATTATTTCTTATTGTTAACTTGTTTTGTGTAGTTCACCTCATTTTTCATCCTCCAATGCTTTTTATTGCTTTTCAAACAGAGGATGCAATAGAGCAACACCTACAATTCAGTGTTTTCTCCTGGGCTGGTATTTATTCACAGGAGCAGAGTGTGAGGAATAGAAATGGATTTGGGGACAAAGGCATTCAAATTTGTATCTGCTAGTTTCCTTCAAAGGCTGAATACACAGTTCTTAACAGAGGAACTTTGTCTTTAACATTTAAGTGCATCCTTTCACTTTGAGCCATGCACATGGCATTACTTGAACAATGTACAATTAAGTTTTTGTTCCCACATGAAGTTTAATAGAGGAGTTTTTACTTTTTCAGAGAAACATCTCACAATAAACTGACACATAGCATATCATCATTGCCATAATATGAGAAATAAAAATAAAAATCAAACAAACGTTTAGTTTCTCTACAAGACTGATATATTGTTTTTTCTTGCTTTAAAACAAATATACCTCAACAGCTTCTTAACCCTTGTATGGTGTTCGGGTCTGTGAGATCCGTTTTCAGTTTTTTTCAAAAGAAAAATTAAACAATTAATTATTTTTTTAACCTGAAATTCATTGGCTTTGGCTTATTTTCTGTGAAGAACATAAATCCGAACTAATATTCAATGACCTCATACTGTACCTCCCCCCACGCATTCACATTACATACAAAGTGTTCGGGTCCACTGGACCCAGGTCTAATAAAAGTGTTGAAAGTGTAGGTCCTGTGTTCCCACACTCTGTCTTCCTCCTTTTCGGTGCTGCTGATAGTGTTTTCTTCCCCTCCTGCTCGCGCACAAAGTTGCAACATTGTTGAAAATTCAACTATCAACACCGTCTGCTCTTACATTCCCACACATTTTACCCTCTTTCTTGAGGGATCAAAATTTTATTTTCTCATATCCCACCTGCAAATTAGGGGCATAATACTATAAATAAGACTTTGCCAGTGTGGTTCTTTATCACAACTGATCAAGATGGCAAAAGATTATCTGCTGCGAGGGCCATC